TGCCCCTGCTACATGAAAGGCTCCGAGGCAAATTACAAAATCAAAGGATTCCCTGTTACTTAAATTTATTCACACACATATTACTATATATATATAATACATAGTAATATTAATATTAAATAAATATAAATAATGTATATATGTGATATATTCTTGTGTGTATATAGAAATATTATATATATATATAGCCTTGGGATTCTTGTGGGGTCGGCTGGCTCGGTACCAGCCAGCCACGACTAGATTGCCACATACACTTTTAGGCGCAAAATGGGGCAAACTCATCTGGCGTCCCCAATGTTTGCGTTTTCCTGGGTGGGTGGTTGATTCCTTACATCATTCCCAGTCCCTGTGGGAAATTTGCTGTCATTTCACATTGGTTTCCCAGCTGCCATTCACAGTTGGGCATGGGTTTTTTGAATGGGCACGAATGATTCAACTTGGTTCCGATGATGGCTTCCAGCCTTTTGGTCACATATGTGTGGCGCGGGGCTTCTCTGCTCGGGGCTTTTGGTCGTGAAAAACAGAGCAGTTCTGAGTCGATGGGCCAATGGGCCAATCAGACATTAAGCACAGAAGGCCAAGAATTTGCAGCACAACTTGCACTGTATCCGCCTGCATGCTCGCTGCCGTACGCCAAATGAGCGTGGGCCGCGTCCTTGCCAACGCGTCGAAAGGTAGGATCATTTACAGTACCTCTGTGTAGGCTATGCATGCATCGTTTCATTTGCGGATGCCGGTGGCAACACCTATCTTGAGTGATGACGCGTACAAGTTTATCCTCAAACCTTCTTAGGGGGTAAACATGGTGCCGTGGCAAAGGCTACCTCTCTCCTCGACTAACGGGGCCCCATAGGTCTGGCAGAGTCGTCGGATCTGGGCAAAGTTGGGGGAAATGATTCCAGCGATGTGCCTCAGATTCCAGGGCAATGCCGCACATGATGTGGCACATCCATGTGGCAAGTCATGGCAATCATGCGGTGGCGACAAGTGAGGCAGTGAGAACGATTCACTCGTCAAGAAGGGCTCTGGGGGTGAGGGGCAATTTGCACATCCATCCACTTTTGATCCTAGACCTCCTCAGCTGGAAAGCAAGGCACACTAAAATCACAGCACCAACCCTTCCGTGTTGATGCCGGTGCAAAACCGCCTCCAAACTGCGCGGGCAGACCTCAGCACTTCCAGGATATGTTCATGTCACATGCCCTCATTGCTACCAAATGGCGTGGCATCCAACAATGCCCACTCAACAAAGGTTGCGTCAAGTACCGTTCATGGCGGTTGCACCCACGGCCCCTAGGCCCTAGTCCAGCACCTGCATGTACTCTTTCTCAATGTCCACCCACTCCTTGGCTTAGGCTGTGGACAAAAAATAACTTCCGCAATCTCATTTCAACTTCCAAAATCTCATTTCGTGGACTTGCAATTCCTGAAGCAGCACCTGCGGCAACGAGTTTTTGCTGGTCGACGATTCAGGGTGTTGTGGTCGGGTGGTAAGATGTTTCCAACATTCAATGCATGTTCATGCTGCGTTATGCTTAACCGTCTCCCTGATTCACTAGCGTCAGGCAAAAGAAAAGGAGACACATCAACTCACTTACTAGGTGGAGTTTTGGGGCTCCAGCTCCATGCAACCCCCTTCCATTTCAAGCGGCAAGGTTGGCCCCAGCATTCAGCGCTGCCACTTGCGTCGCGAAGAAAGTGTTGCTTGGGATGACAACCGCCTTGAGCAACATGCACTGGCTGTACTCGTGCCATCTGCTTGGGAACAAAGAAGTCCGCAAACGCAGGGGATACCGGATACCAAACATTAATTTATAAATTTGAAAATTGAAGACTCTCCGTTCTGGGGCAACTGTGTACTTGCCGTTGGCAGCCAATGCACCTTGCCGGCAACGTCCAGGGCTCGCAGCGCAATGGCCAAAGCTTGCGTGCCAGACCTCGCAGTGAAAAAACAGGAACAGGAACGGGTGTAGGGAAAACTGCGGATCACTTTTTAAGGTTCCATGTCCAAGAGCTCTTTCCAGGAATCTGGTGTGATCTACGTGGAGATGGTCTTGAGAACAAAAACCTTTGCAATGTGATGGTGGAGAATGTTCTTGAACGCGGGACAAAAAGACACGTAACACATCTCATCTCCCTGGTAGGTAGCATTGCCTTGCCTGGAGACAGTATCGAAAAGGTTTCGGCTCTTGGCTTCCAACGTGGTAGCCAAAGCAAAAGGAACGTGGCTAAGCTGTGCAAAACTTTCCTCGAACTGCCTGGCTTGGGGCAGTTGAAGCACCAAATGAAGCACTGCAGCAGCTGAACAACTGCGCCAACCAAATGAAGCACTAAAATCATAGTTTGACACGCGTACAACGCGACTTACTGATGAGATTATGCCTTCGAGTTGTCACCAGCATGTGTCACGCCAACCCCCTGCTTCATCCAGCAGAAAATCACACAAATCTTGAAACACCAGCGTTTTGAGTGACTGCTAATACAATCTGAACAGCCAGCCAGTAGTCCGCCCGCTTTACCCAGCTACGCCTCACATAGTAGTTCTCGCTCAGCGGCCGTCCGCTGCAAAGGATTTCGCGGCACTTGGAGGTGAAAGACTCAACGAAACCAGGCTCAAAGTCGTGCCGGAAGATCGGCCTTGAAATATGGAGTTCGAAAAATTGAAGATCCCTACTACAACCCAAAATGAGGCAGGAAAAAACATATCACACGTCCGAGGCTTGATTGGCCATCAAACCACTCTAATCCATGATAGAGAGATGGTATGTGTTTGATTGTTTGTTCTGAGTTTCTGACACCTTGCGGTGTGGTTTGGGCAACCTCGCAATTCGGTCGGGGACGATATGCAAAATTCATCTCTCCTACACTAAATGTACCAAACTGATGCGCCAAAACCATCAATCCAAGCCCCTGACTGCGCTTGTCGTTTTCCTTTGACAAAAGGCTCCTGCAAATCAATCAATTACAAATCATTTTGAAGCAGCTAGAACTGTAGCGCCAATCCTGAAACCGCGGAGAACTCCTTTGGTTCATTCAACAACCCGTTCGCACCTCAATGCTATCCTGACGATGTGGGGCTTCAAGTCTCAATCTTGACCCTTTTTGCAGCTGATGCGATCCCAGTTCGTGGTGAAACCTTTGTGGCCTCGGCGGTCCAAAAATCCGGTTCATTTCCTCAACGCGCTTAACTGCACAGTCCTCTGCCACACGTTTCCCGGGCAACCAGGCATCCTCAGTCTGTGGAAACAAACAATGGGTTCGATTTTAATCGCTCTCAGGTTCTAAATCCCTAAACATATACTGGAAACATGATCAAACATGTATGTAGCCAAGTATGGTTCTCAGCAAGGCTCCAAGGCTCCGGGCACACCCCCAACAATGTGTCAAGACCAAACCAAAAAACTGCCCATCCCGTTGAACCAAGTCGCCCCATCAAAATCCAATGGTATGCTAGACGTTCCTGCAGCACCACGCGAGGCAAGAATCTCTCCTGGCGGCATCAAAACGGCTATGTGATCGAATTTACTCTTGTTGCCACGCGCACGGCATTGAAACACCTAGGTAGTGTTGGGACGTTGCTCATATGTGGCAACACCGCACGTGATTCAAATGTCCTCTTGCGTGGCGCTGCAGGGCTAAGAAGGGCTGCCAACAAACAAAGCGTGAACATTGTATAAAAATTTGACTCCTCTATGGGCCCATATGCTAACATGTTTGTTGCCAGAAAAACCGTCACCCTTCCGCCTTGTTGCAACGCCACGCGGAAGTTGCAGCAAAGCAAAGCATCCTGGCCTCATCGAAGGCGAGTTTGGACACGACGAACCCAAACACAGCACAAAAACCACCACGGAAAAATATTGTCCATGGCCAAAAGGTTCCTTCGGCTAGGGCCGGCTGGGGCCCCGACTTCGAACCCAAGCCCTGGACCCAACACTGCCAACCACCTTCGCAAGTGAGGTTTGGTGGTTGGTTTTTTGTTCCAAACCGCACGCCTCACCCGGGGCCGACGCAGCAAAGCACTTCAAGCGATCTGCTTGAAAGACCAAACTCTCCTCGGGCATCGCGCGCTGCGGAGCTGCAAGCAGCGCAAGAAGTCATGTAGCATAGCAGTCGTCCAAACAAAAGGAATTTAGTTGCGTGAGCAATTGCTGCCCATCCGGGCAAGCGGCCATTCCAAGCACCTGACAACAGTGGACTCATTTGGTTTGCTTCGGCAAGCGGGAAGCGCTCACAGCACATGGAAGGGAGGAAGGAGGGAATTGCAGCAGAAAAGCGAGTTTGCACGCGGTATGCGGTATTGGCAAACCTGGTGTATTCGTTCACAGGTCCAGCACACAAGCATTCTAGCGCTGCCACTTTGGGGAAGTGGTAGCGGGCCTTGTGTCTTGCGTTCGCTTTGTGCAAATAGGTCCACTTCGTGTGCATCTGCTCGATATGTCGGACGGGAAACAATTGGAGTTCGGCTCCCATCTGAAGGATCATTGTCCAGATCTTCAACGACAACGAAAATTGCCTGATAGACCCCAGGAACGTGAATGTTAGATATAAGTGAAAGGAGCGGATTGATATCAAACATGACATGGGACAGCAAATGAAAACAGCGCGGACTCACGTAAACACAGTTTTTCCACCGAAACCGATCTGGGACACCTTTTTCGTGGAGGACTCTTGTCGAACACTCTCGTGGGACACTCTTGTGGGACAATCCCGCACAACACTCTGGTGGTGAGACATTCTTATTTACTTTCCACCGATGTGATTTCGAGAAGAAATCTTGAGCCACCATGGTGAGAACATGGTATGTGTGTACAACACAACAGACACCCTGAGCTGCCAATTGTTGATCTCAACATTGGTAGCGGAGCCCGGTTCGCTGCCGGGCTCCAGTAGCTGCACGCGATAGAAATCATCCAGGGCACCTCAACCTGAGCTTCTTCGCCTTTGTTTTGATTCGATGGCTGGATCTCAAGCCTCTTCAACTCAAGGAGGCCTTGAAGTGACAAGGGATAAGTTCATCCCTCTGTTTGACAACAACATCCGCAATTACAAAGAATGGCGTGCACGAATTTTGCTGCCCGGAAAGAAAATGAGCATCCAGAACAAAGCCAAGGAGGCCACGATAAACCTCCTGACAAGTTTGACTGGAGTTTCTTGGCGTCAAGTCGAGCTCGACAAGTGCTTCAAGTATGACTCGAGGGTCGAAGCATCCAGAAGCATGGAGTTGCTTTTAATTTTCTTCACCATGGGCCGACGCCCTGAGCAGACGCTTTTGACATATGTGGCTGAGCACAAAGAACGAAAACGTGAAATCGAACGCCACGGCATCAAAGTGCCAGATGCCATCAGCGGCTGGCTTCTCCTGAGAAGAGCTGGATTGATCCTGGAACAACGACACCTTGCGATGTCACGAGTTGGAAGCGATACCGAGATCGCCAAGGTGGAGGGTGCATTGCATTTCTTGTTTGGACAAGATTTCAAGACTTCATCCTCCACTCGCTGGACTGGTCGCAACTCAAGTTCCTCTTGGAAGAGCCGCAATGTTGGCCGAGCTTACACGACAGAAGAATATCCATATGATGATGAGGAGCTCGACTATGAGGCCTACACCTTGGAGGAGGAGAATCCTGAGCTTGAGTAATTTTGTGAGGAAGATGAGCAGACTGAGACCGGTTTCTATCAGGAACAACCCGATGAAGACGAACACGCTTTCCTGGAAGAAGAGTGGGATGAAGAAGTTGAGACTGCCTATGCAACCTATCTGGATGCCCGCAAGCGGTTCTCCGACCTGAAGGCTTCTCGTGGTTTTTGGCCAGTATATGCAGTTCCACCAACTTCATCTCCAATGGCATCAAGCTCAACAGCGCCTTCGACTCCTTTTCCACCTTCTTCAAAAGGGGCAAAAGCAAGAGCAAAGGAAAGAACAAAAGCAAGAGCGAGAGTCCATCCAGGAATTTGACCACACGTACACAAAGTGCTGGATACAATTTGACTTGTTTGAAGTGCGGACAAGCTGGACATTGGGCTGCACAATGTCCTATGAATACATCATCTCCGAAGAGTTCCTCAACAACCTCATCGCCCAAGCGACAGAAAAGTGAAGCTGCCATGATGGCCTTGCCTGTCAATGGATACACATGTAGACGTCACCTCGCAGGGCAAAGGTGTTTTTGGAATCTTGGACACTGGAGCAAGTAGTGTTGTGATGGGACGCCAAACTATGCTCATGGTCCTCGCCTACCTGCAAAACCATGGTGTTGACATTGGACGCATTGAGTTTCGCCCCGCCAACAAGTTGTTTCAGTTTGGAGGAGACCACACTGGACATGCTGCTTGGTCGATTCACTTGAGGCCAGGGGGGGTGAACGAAAGCTAGCCCGGCTAGCCACTGCGAAGCAAGAACGACTCCAACTTTTCGTGACCATTGAGCATTCATCAAGATTCAATCAGACTTGCCGCCTCTGCTCACCAAAGAAGACTCCCACAAACCCCGCCCTGCGAAGGGGTCCACAGGGAGTCCGCGCGCCACTTCCCCCCTTTTCTGGAGCAAGCTCGATGTAGGGTCGGCTCCAGTTCTCAAGTTGCATTCAATTGGCGGATCACCCCTGGCACGCAGTGAAACGTGACGAGATCAGGTGACGTTTCGCCTTTTTTGGTTTGGGATCATCCCAGCCCGAAATGACGCCCTTCAGACCATGATTAAAACAAAAACAAAGAGGGATGAAGAAGGGGGAAAGGATCATTGGCCATGTTCAATGACCAATCTCCTTATGGATGCGTCCAAAAGAATCCAAAACATGCCCAGGGCCATCCAGTCGCAAACAAAAGAAAAACTTCGTTGGGGACTTATAACCTGAGGCATCATATATATATATATATATTAGGTCATTAGGTAGTATACTGACGCATTTTAGGGGATTCAGTGCTTCCAATAGTACAGAAACTTCAACCCAAACCACCGAAATCGGCTGGTCCATGAGACCTTACCAACCAAAAAGATACCTTTGGGGACTAGGACCTCTTTGCCTCATGTCTGCGCAAGAAATCGAGTGAGATTCTCAGTTCTCCTGCCGCAAAAAGTGAAGTGTGTCATCTGGAGACATCAAATGGTGTGATCATGTCTGATCCATCTAACATGTTCCATAGGCCGCTAGTAGGTTGGAGGTCAGCGCTAGGAGGCCATCGTTATTAGGTTCGTTAATGTTCTTTAGGGAATCTTTTTTTTTCTATATGTGCACACTGTGAGATGAACGTCCCATCTGCATCCATCTGCGTCTGTCGCGGAGCTTCATGGTGCTTCGCGTTTCTGCATGTGTTCTCTTGAGACGCCTGGGACAGCTCGACTAGCGCAACATCGGGACTCCTCCATCATCCAATCTGGCAAGGGAGCATGAGCTGCTTGATGGGGGGTCCAATCTGAACTGAATCCCCATCCAACCTGGATCATCCTGTAGCAACTGTCCAATCGGGTTCACATTCACCAACATCAGCATCCTGCCACCACCTGCCTTTCACCCAAAGAGATCAACCCACAGAACTGCGAACTGCGCTCCAGAAAGCCGATTCGGCGTCTACAGGGGCCTTCGAGGGACACTTCAGGGTATTCCTAACTTCAAAGAGACCCCCCTACCGCGTCGGGACCGAAGATGACCGTGACAGCTCGTTACCGAGTCCAGTCTGGACAGTTCCATGACCGAAAAAGCCTCGTTGGAGCCGATATGTTCAGTGGCATTCGGCAGGGCTTTGGTCCCCTTCTCCTCCCATTCAAAGAGTCTTCAACTAGGAGCATTTCGGGCATCGCTACTAATCAGGAGCGATCGGACGCTACGTTCGAGGCTCCTGGCATCGCCACTAGTAACAAGAAGCTATGAGGAACAAGTGCATCGCTTCTAGTAACAAGCGCCTTACTACTAGTAACAAGAAGCTACTAGTAACAGCAACCGTCATCGGAGGCTTCGGACTGAGCGTCCCCGTCGGTGCGGGCAGGAGGGAGCTTGTAGTCGTGATAGGCGGCTGGAGGAACCTAGTGCTGAGATCGCAGGAGTCAGGAAGAGGGAAATATGGTGGAACAAGGGGGAAGAGCGTGTAAGGGGGCCAGTAATTGCGCTGCATGGAGTTGATGGAAAAAAGTGTGGATGCCGACAATGGAAAGTCGACGTAGTGCTTTAGAATAAAACGTAGCTGATCAGGCTAAGCCAGGGACGATGGTGTGGGGCGGCTGCAGCGCATGAGGAAAATGCGTGGAGT